TAATGACAAAGACTATTTTCTCCTTTTATTAAACATTGCAAGGCAACTGCTTTACCATTTATATTCATTTTCACTTTCTAGGAATACAAATAAATATTTAGAGAATTTCACACACACAAAAATCATCAATCAGAAAGAGGACTTAGCAGACTATTAGAAATCTGTAAAAAAAGAAAAAAAAGTTGTTTTAAGTGTATATAAGTTACTATGTATCTGTGCACACAGTAACTTTCTCCTTTCCAGTCTTCCTATTTGTATTCAAATATTCAAATAACAGCATACCAGATAGCTGTCCACAGTGTGATTTTCTGCAGTACTTTTCCTGGATGCAAAATGTTTGACCCTGCAAAGACAAGGTGACTCAGCACATTCAAATTGCAGAGCTCAGGTTTAGATGATAGATACATTGCAAGAACTGCTGAGAAGATATTAGGAGAGGATTTTTGTTCCGCCACCCTGGACGCGGTGACGCCAACCAGACACGTGTGAAGAAAGCAATGTGTGCTACGCCCTCCCCGCTACAAAAAAGCAAAACCATACTAAATTCTTGTTCAAATTACATAAACCTCTTAAAGTTGGAGAAATGAGAAATCGTTAAGCACTAATCTGCGTTTTCCTACTGGTGTGTTTGGGAACTAGTGATTCCCCAAACCCATTGGCCAGACCTATCAAAACCACAAGAGGAAGGTTTATCATAAAATTAGATTGACAGTTTCCCCTTCCTGTCCCCATTCTGATTCCAGTGGGTTTGGGGTAGAGGCCAGAGGTACTATAAAACACTCATCACGTGATTGCCGACCACAGCAGGTTAGGAAGGCTTGGATCAGACAGCAGCTTGATGAAAATGCATAAGGTTGAAGGCCCCCAAAACAAACCTGGCTGGAAGCTACACATCTCCTCCAGGCCAACGTAAAATGCATGGGTAAAAAATCAAGGGTACTTTAACATCTCTCCGCCAGCGTAGTTCTTTCATAATGTTTAAAACATGACCCAAATAAGGCCAGGCGCCGTGGCTCCACGCCTGTAAATCCAGCACTTTGGGAAGGCCCCTGAGGTGGGGTTGGGCATAACTTGAAGTCAGGAGTTCAAGACCAAGCCCTTGACAAACTGGTGAACAGAGAAACCCTGGAGTCCTCTACTGCGAAAAATACAGAAACCTTTAGCCGGCATGCAATGGCGGGTCGAATTTTGTAAACCCAGCATACTGAAGAGGCCTGAAAAAAGGAGGGAGAATCAACTGTAAACCCCGGGAGACCACAGAGGTTGCAGTGAGCCACCACTCTCCACTCCCAGCCTGCGGTGGAACAAGGAAAAGGGTTTCAGAGACTCTGTATACAAAAGAAAAAAAAAAAAAAACAAAAAAACTTGAACAAATATTAGTCCGTATTTTTAATTGTCTACCTTTTAAAATTCCCAATGAATATCCTAACTTTTAAAAGTTATTCTTACGAAACATGGGACCCTTGGCACCTTGATAGATTCCTGTTTTATATAGCTGATGGGCTTATACATCTTTGCTGCTCAAAC